GTTGTGGTACACAAGTAATAATCCTAGACTCTCATTTATTAGACCTCTATAGCTTTACTGTATTATTAAATATTTTTGAACAATGACATGTTCAATTGATAAGACTTTTGTTAAATATTATTTTTACCGGTTCAAAGGTTTCGGAAGGCAACCCTCTCCCTTGGTCTCATGTCGACATAATATCGTCGGCAGTCCTTTGAGGGGTATCCCACGAAGGTAGATTGATCGCAGAGAGGCGTGTAATCAAGAACAAGAAGGCAACAGAGACACACGAGTTAGACAGGTTCAGGCCGTCAGTATGATGTAATACCCTACTCCTGTGGTCTGTTGGATTGTATTGGCTATCGAATGATATTGCGTCAGTTTGGACGAGGGGTCCCTGTCCACCTTATAAAGTTCCGGGGCAGGATTACAAGTCGGTTAGATCTGAGAGATAACCGGAAAGTAATAACGGATTACATGAATCATGGGATCATACGTACCCTAACAGATCTCGTAGCATCTTTAGGATATCTTCCCAGTATCTTACGGGAGGCGCCGAGCAGAGTCGTGCCCCACAAGGCTTCATCTCGTGGGCTGGGCCGCCCTTGGGGACGCAGCCCATGTGGTCTGCCATGGGTATCCGGGGTCGTACCCCCCACAGCTAGTCCCCGAGCGCCTTGTACCCGTTATGCAACACCATCTTGAGCTTGTCCGAGCAGGTGCGAACAAAGCCGAGCAGTCAAACCCATGGTTCGACCACCGTGATGAGTTGCCAAAAGAGCAGCAAGTAAATCGTCAGCCGAAAGGTGGAACTGCTGCGGTTTAGCGCCGAAAGCGTGAACTGTCAAGCCGTAGCGTCAAAGCGTAAAGGTAACCAAGTACGGCTTGCCATAAGGGTGTAAGGAGCTCAAGTTCATAATCGAAAATTTCTTCGCAGTGGATCAAGTGTGCCAACTTAGAGTCCGACCACGAGAAAAGGGAGATAGTCTTCAGCTTCAAGAGGCGCGGAGTCTTCCAGAATAAAGCAAACACATTCACTGCGAGGTGAAGTGTGCCCACTTAGTCCCCGAGCCTGAAAGTAGGTGACACACTCATGTGGTGCCAGCGTCCATAGTAGGACAAAAGTAGAAGACCAGCCGAGCAGATAGCCAGTCCCCGGGCGTAGCCTCAAGATGAGAAAAAGCACATTCACCGCAAGGTGAAGTGTGCCCACTTAGTCCCCGATTTATATTCGACGAAGAGTGTGACGAGTCTAGCCCGTTGGTGCGCTGTCGGAAGCGGAAACGATCAACAGGAGAAAGTTTGCCGACGTCATCCGACATGCGGGTATCAAGACCCCAGACGTCTTTGCGCCAAGATCAGCACCTCCGATCCGAACAACATGGAGCGACTTGATAGCACACCGATGAGACATAGCAAGATCCGACCACCAAGGAGTCCCCGGCGTGAGTTCAAGTCAAGAGCGATGCACCGAGGAGCACCAAGGAGGCCTAACAATGGAACCGAATTGGCAATGTCCGAAAGCACCGAGGAGTCTCGGCGTCATTTGGCGATGTCCGAAAGCACCGAGGAGTATTCAAGCATAGAGCATATGGCGATGTCCGATCCGAGTTAACCGAGGATTCCCGGTAATAATTGGAGCCGGGCGATGTCGAGCATCGAGGAGTCCGGCCAATTGGTCGGGGCGAAGTGAGCATTGGGTAGAAGTATCGGCGAGAAGTCGGCGAAGAATAGTCCGATCAATCGGTCGGCGACGAAGTCCATGAACCTAAGCGGTCCGACCGATAGATTGATCGGTGGAGAAGTCTCGAGCACCGGTGGTCCGATCATTTGGGCGATGATCCCGCAATACAAATATGTAGAACGGGTAGTACATGATGTAAAAATATATGAACTCCGGAGAAAAATCAGCGATGGCGATGAAATAGTGCATGTAGCTCGGCGGTTAGTTGGCGTATTACGTCGATCGGGGCCAGCGAACCTGTCAAATCGTTGTCTGCGCTTCTTGTGTCACCGGCGAGATGTATTTATATTTAATATAAACCGTCCGACTAGTTAGTGTGTAGTTGAGTCTCCTAGATGGACCGCCCTAGTTAGCCCGTTAACCATAACGATGGACCTCAAGCGCGCCGGAACCCGTGCGCGTGTAGGAAGAACAAAGCATCGCTAAGGAGCGGCCGCCGACCACCCATAACGAGTTGAGAGGCGGAACACTTACGTGTCGCGCACGTAGGGAGGAGCCGAGCAGGCCGCTCTATCGTGGACATCCGAAGCGTCCAACATTACTGTTCGGGGTTCAGAAAATCATTTGGAGAGCAAACATGGAGAAAACAGCTCAGAGAAACATTATGGCGATATACGAAGATTAGAGAATATTTAGAAGAATATTAAAGTTGTGACTTAGCTTTAGACAGAACGTCTGGTCGGAGAGGGAGCGGGCGGCCAATTGTCGGTGAAGGCGACCTCGGAGGTGGTCCCGAGATCGGATCTGGCGTGGCTGATCAGCGAATCGAGGTTGTGGAGTATGAAGGTCTCTGATCCTGGCGGATCTCATTGACTGACAGTGTGCCGCTTTAAGCATGGCGGCGACCTTGGTGACCACAAAGTGTGTCATAATTTTCGGGAGTCAGGCGAGTAGCTAACGTTGTCCATGTATACGGTCTTAAATATGCCAGATTATGGCGCTTGGGGTCTTGTAGAACCGAGGAATTTCGGTTTCGGTTCTAACCGATGGAACCGAATTTTTCAGGGACCAGGAAACAACACATTCAATTGCAAATTTCGACATCATTTTGCTTGCTTTTCATACAGTCAAAAGGGATAATTTAAATAGCAATACAGCATAAAACAACAGTACAACACATATATGTTATTGTTCTCTCAAATATTCAAGCATAGAGCAATATTCAAGCCGACAGTAAAAAAACAAGAGGTCCAACAACTCGGGGACTTAGTTCGGTTATTTTGCTGGTCAATTCGTTAACCGAAAGCCGCAAACCGAATTAACCATAATAATTTGGCTCTTGGGAACTCGAACCGAACCTCAGGACCGAATATTTCGGTTTTGGTTACTTTTGCCGGTTTGGTTCCATTTAGTTCGGTTCGGTTCTCGGTTTTTCGTGCCTGAGCTTAGTTTGGAGGATGCTCAATCATACTCGGCGTCGGCCGACGATTGCAACATGTTGACGGCACCACGACTACGACCGAAGCTCGGGGTCGGCGATCTAGTCGGCGAGAAGATGGACACTTCCAACTGGTCGGTGAATTTGCCCCTTAGGGCATCTTGGTAAGTGGCGACAACGTTGGTGAATCCAAGGGTAGAGCCGTGAAACCGGAGTTTTCCGAGCAGCTGTGGGGGATATACCCGGTAGACAAGATCTGGGGATCGAGGAGGGTGGTCGGCGTGCACATCAAGAACAAGTTGCGCTAGATATTGTAGTGTACCAGAGCCAATTTGGCGATGGAGAGGCAATCGGTGAGCGAGTTCGACCAACCCGATCGATAGATGCGATCGGACGTCGTCGTTGTTGATGTGCTCCTCTGGTAGCAAGGAAGGAAGCGGTGAGTTGTCGATGAAGGCGACCTCGAGAGGTGGTTCCGAGATCAGATAATCGCTGCGATCGTTGTTGAGTCTTTGCAACCTCAGGTGGTGATCGGGCGCGAAACGAAACCGCACCGCTCAATGAGCTCTTCTACTCCGTCAGCGTTGATGATCCACGAGATCAATCCGACCGTGAAGATCTGGCCGGGCTGTGGGAGAGACGAAGAGCCTGCGGAACGTATCATCTTGTTCGATATAGAAACAGCACGCACACCCCTACCTGACACGCCAACTGTCGACAAAATATCATCGGTAGTCCTTCGAGTGGTATCCCACGAAGATAGATTGATCGGCAGAGAGGCGTGTAATCAAGAACAAGAAGGCAACAGAGACACACGAGTTAGACAGGTTCAAGCCGTCAGTATGACGTAATACCCTCCTCCTGTGGTCTGTTGGATTGTATTGGCTATCGTATGATATTGCGTTAGTTTGGAGGGGTCTCGCCCGCTTTATATAGTCCGGGAACAGGGTTACAAGTCGGTTAGATCTGAGAGATAACCGAAAAGTAATAACGGATTACAGGAATCATGGGATCATACGTACCCTAACAGATCTCGTAGCATCTTCAGGATATCTTCCCAGTATCTTAAGGGAGGCGCCGAGCAGAGTCGTACCCCGCAAGGCTTCATCTCGTGAGCTGGACCGCCCTAGGGACGCAGCCCATGTGGTCTGCCGTGGTATCTGGGGTCGTACCCCATATCTCGCCAACTGGAAGATTAAGTCAGAAGCCCTCTGCCTAGTCTAACACAAGGCGCCTTGGTGACGATAGCAGAGGTATCTATGCGCCTCGGTGACGATAGCAGAGGTATCTATCCTGGTCACACACATAGTCTCTCTCTCTCTCCCTTCCAAGATTGACAAGGGATTCTGCGGTAAGTGAGCCCCACCACATTTCTTAGCAAGTAATATTATTAGACAATTTAGCATCACATGATACTAGAGACCTGAAACTCTACTAGAACACAATTATTCTTCTCCTCCTATGGCCACATTTCTTCCGGAATTCCCACCTGACGAGTACAGTTTGAATCATATTATCTTATTCACATTACACAGTGAAACTATAAAAAAAAAACAGCTTCAACAATTACCATGTGGTACTAACATAAAGTGCTGGATTTTTAAATGTATAAAGATAAAATTTGTATTACATGACTTACTTTCGCATTTGCTACCAGCAGGCAGCGGCTTGTTGCAATCACTTGCAAGATGAACAAGCTTTACCGTGCTTATTGCAGTTTCGTCCAAGGAACTGAGCATGCAACATACGCAGACCATGTCTACTACTCCGACAAGTTGACGACATAAGTTAGTAGGAGGGACATACTTGCCAACATTTGTGATGGTTTTAAAGCATATATCAATTCACATGTGCTGTGTAGTCATCATCATGGGGCGCCGCTACGACCAGGCTCCCATGGCCTTCACCATCACACGCCTGGTGGAGACTTTCATAGGCATCTCCTGTGCCGTCCTGGCGGACCTTGTGTTCCAGCCAGGAGCGAGGCCGTCGGTGCAGGCCAGGGAGCAGCTCGCCCGGTGCATCGCCGCGACTATTGAAGAGGGTGCAGCAGGAGCTGGCCCTCCTGAGGAAGTACGCCGCGGAGGCCGGCAGCGAGCCCACCTACCTGTGGCTGCCGCCGTTCCAGGTGGCCTGCTACGACAAGATCCAGGGCAGCCTCGGCAGGATGGTGCAGCTGCTGCAGCTCTATCACCAGGCACGCCGGCACCAGCAGGTGGACGTGGACGATGACACCAACACCAACACCTGTTCTGTTCGGTTGGCTGATTCGTTTCGTTGCTGGTTCGTGAAGAAGTACTGCTGGCTGGTTTGTGTGAGAGAAAAATACTATTCCGGCTGAAAATTTACGATCGTTTACGACAAGCCACAGCCAAACGAACAGGCGGAGCAGCAGCCTCGCCTCCACATGCAAAGAGGCCAAGGGCCAGGTCGTCGATCTTGAGGCTGGGACTGCGGCTGGTGGCGTCGGCTGCAGCCGCTGCTACAAGGATGACGAGGTGCTGGGCTCCTTCCTAGCGCAGGCACGAGAGGCAAAGCTGCTGCTGTTGAATGACAACGACGACGACGACAGCGTTCAGCAACCAGAGGAGAGATTGTTGCTAGTGTGCTGCCTGGGCTCCATTGCCCTGTGCATGGGAGAGATCCTCAAGGAGGCCCAGCTGCTGGAGGCGCACATCCTAGACCTCAACAACCTGCAACTCACCACTCACTGATATAGAGTTTAGTTTAAATTGGTAGATCCATACACATGCATTCTTCTACAGAATACATAGTAAAATCTCACAAATACTCCTTTCAGCTCAAGGGACTATCTACGAGTTGAAAAACAGAGACAGGTTATCAAGCAATGAACAATGCCACAAACTCTGGCAACTTGTGTGAGACCCGACTGACTTGTCCCCAGGCTAACAAAATAATCATGCAGTTGAACTGCACAGCGGCGACATCCAACATGAAATGTGACAGAATATCAGAACCATGCTGTATATATTCCATTACCATCTACAAGTTTGTAACTAAGAAGCAACCAAACCTACAATGGAACAAGAGTCGGCTTCCTCTCACAAAAACACCTCATCTCGCAATTGCTTCCATCCTCTCCATTTCATCACCCAACATGTTCACAATGCAAATTGACCTTCCAGATTAATACACCCGCTCATGATCTGATACATTATACTATGGTCAGCATCTATTCCTACAAAATGAGACACAGGAAGACATACTGGCCACTGCCCACCACGAATGCTGTGCCAGAATCATTTAGCTGGTTTCCATTGCTGCAGCATGGTACTTGTCCAAGTCTGCGTCCAGATCTTCAACAGAAACTTTCTCACCACGACCCTCTCCCCTCCCCCTCCCCCGCCCCCACCCCCGCCCACGCCCACCAAATCCACCTCTGCTCTGAGGCCATCCTCCAGCACCACCTCTTCCAGGCCCACTGCAAAATTTCAATGCTGGTTTCTTACTCCAGATCTTTATAGAAGAGAAAAAAAACACACTAGGGTGCAAAGCATAATCAAAACTGTTGATTCACATGCCAATGCAATCTTAGATTTAGCAATCACAGTAACTGAGACTCGGTTCCGATTCCATCACAAATGACAGATTTCGCACACACTCCCAAACCACTCGTTTATCATGTGGAGGCAACATTTATGAGCATTAGTTTCCAGGAGATTGTCAAATGTGAACAAAAAGCTTTTAGTATCATGGGTCCTATATATACTTCTGTCACTAATCTGAGCATGTGACTTATATCTAGTTATTCCCCACATGACATAAAAGAGATGTAGCTTTTTGTTTGTTCCCCCGGGAGTCTTAATATGAGTCCCCAGATCAAAGACAAATAATCCCTGCTCTGCTTGCACTATCAGCACACCTGTGTACTGTAGAAACCATGCTGCAGAGTTGAAATTCTAACAGAGCATGCATTTGTGGAATGATAGTGAAGCTAATGACTGAAAAGCAGCACAGTAGTCTTGGAAAGCAATGTTTTGCAGGTGCTATTTCATCAGGGGAGAAAAATAAACTGCATATGGCAAAGAACGATGGTACTAACTGACCTTTTGAAAGGCAAATTGAAGTTTCCAGCTGGCAGATTGAAGGAGAAGATAGCAGTTGGTGGCGGTGGTGCCTCAATGTTTGTCCCAATGATTTCAATCTTCATAGGTTTGCCATCAAGCTGCACATTGTTGTACCTCTTAACGGCAGCTAGAGCATCAGAACTTCTAGAGAAGACAACCTCTGCAGTTCCCTGCCAACGTTGAACCACAGTAATTAATGAGCATTTGAGGCTGATGAGACAGAAAAGAGTAAAGAGGATGGGCATCAAAATTCAGAAGTAATCTACCTTTGATCTTCCACTCCTGTCATAGTTGATAGAGTAACGCTTGATATCACCAACATCAGAAAAGAGTTCCTGATCAGGAAAGGGAGGATGAGAATGGTGCCTGGGTAGGAATAGAAAAAATAAATAAATAGAATGGTGCAGTATAGCAAAATAGGAGGGGAAAAATCAATACAGAAATTCGTTTGTTTCCTTACCGTAATAAGCAACACCGTACTATGAACTGATGAATCAGATGTACCAGCACTGTTTATAGCAAGAGAAGAAGAGTGACCTTGATGTCGTCGTTGGAGACGCCGTAGTCGAGGTTGGAGATGTAGAGCTTGGTGGGCTCGTCGAGGGCGGACACCATCGGCGGCCTGGGCTGGGCGGCCCTATATCCAGCATAATCCATAGGTCGCACAAGTGGCTACGATTCGGTTAATCAGTTCAAGTGATTAGGGTCGGTTCGTTCAACTTCAATCAATTAGGAGCAGCGGCATGGAGAGGGTGAGGAGGAAGGGATCTCCGACACTCACCTTGAAAGAGAAGGTTGCGCGGCGGAGGTAAGGTGCTGCGGCAGCGCGGGTGTTGAAGCGGCGTCGCGGCGCCGTGGGTGCGGGGACTCCGCCTCTGGAGGCAGGGCGTCTCCCGCCGGGGTGTTGGTGGGTGCTCCTGCTCTTGGAGATGAGGTCGTCGAGAGACATGTCGAGGGCGTCGGCCATGCTCTCTGTCTCTCTCTTCTCCGTCGTCGTCGGCGGCGGCGGCAGCAGTAGGAGGGAGGGAGATGAGCCGCGACGACAGACAACCTAGTTGCGTGCGTGGGCTGCTGCCTGATGTAAGTTGTTGGAATGGGCCCCATGGCTTCAGTTGGGCCTGGACTTCTTTTTCCGGGAACCAGGCAGCCCAGCCCAGCCCAGACCAGACCAGCTACAGCTTCCTCCTCTTCTTCCCTGTTCCCCCCCCATCGCGGCGGCCGATTGGAGACGGAGAGCAGAGGAGATTTCATTGACGGACGGAAGCAAAAGCGATCGACGATTCGATTCCATCTGATCCGCCATGAAGCCCTTCAAGCAAGAATTCAACTTCGGTCAGTAGCTCTCAGTCCACATCTAACTCTGCAGTTTACTCAATTGAGTAATTCGATGATGCATGCATGCTTGGGGTCGGGGTGCAGATGAGAGGCTCCAGGAATCCACTGCCATGATCGCCAACTACCCCGCCAGGATCCCCGTATGTGGAGTCTCTCTATTCCCTTTCCTTTCTCCTCTCTTAGCTTGCTTGCCTCTGCCTTCCAAACCCTAGGCGGGCAGGGCCTGAGCCTGACTCAGCTTCTCTCCTTTTTGTTCGCGTCGCTAATCAATTATTGCTATTATTACTACTATACTACACTAGGTGATACCTCGCATGTTTGAACAAATTAAAATGGGAAATGTTTTTGGATGAAATAAATTGCATGGCATATAATAAATTATAATACAATTAAAAATAATGGTATTATACCACATAATTATGCCAACCATCGTACATCAATGAGCAGAGTTCGTACACACTGGCTATATAACTAACATGTGCTTCTTATATTCAGCATAGTATAGTAGCCTACTTAGTCCAACTCTCGTTACATTTTTTTTTACTTCACCTGGGAAAGAGAAACAGGACAGTGTAATAGGATAAAAAGAACCAATAATAATTATCACTAAAAAAGGCTGCATGGACCCTGCAAAGAAAGACCTAACTGATTTTACAATAGATAGACATTAGTACTCAAGTAGCAGTTCGGTGCAGTACCCTAGAGCATCTATGTGTTCGGTCAGGTTAATTTGAAGGGTTTTTAAAATTCCGTGTCGGCATCCTGACTTAGAGTCCGACTTGAAGTTGCTAACTGATGCGAGCAGTTTAGTATGGATGTAGTAGTCTGCCCAGTCACATAAATGAATACATGATGGGCACCCCAGTAGTCTACACAGACATGATCATGCTTTGCTCCTGGAACAAAGAGCGTTGACAGGACAAAAACTAGAAATGCCACTTTGAATTGCTCCGATGTCATACCATGCCGGGTACTCAGTGTCAAGTAGCTCTTGTACAGCCTTAATACTGCGTTGCTCTTTCCCGGCCTGTTAGAGGCCAGCAGCGTAGCTTCATTTTCTCCAGCAATTTGGCCTGCGCTCTTAAAGCAGCTGACCCTTCCCTGAGAATCTGTCCTGCCACAATATAATTCATGATTAGCCCTGTTAGTGATGCAACTGAGTTGCATCCATTTCGAGCTCCCTAGCTCCTCCGAGTATATGTATGTCGACGAAATCGCAAGCGCCCCTCGATCACCGTGGTCCATGTCATCCAATCATTTTGTAGTCTTTTACTTAAAATCCACAAGGGGGGATCCGATCATTTTGCGGCTCCGATCCATGCACTGCACGGCAACCACGTTTTGAAGATCGTCTCGTCGGAGTTGCATCATCGCTGCCCCCGTGAAGAAGCCGGCATCCGAGGTGTCAATGATTAATTTTTTTTTGAAAGGCCGGCCAGCAAGAGATTTGCCGAATTAATACATTATTAGAAGAAGAATTATTAAAGGAATACAAGCAAAACCCTTCTGTCTGACAGGGTGTTTGGTTTGATTGAGCAGGCTGCAACTGCAACATATCCAACATGGGTCGCCTCGCCGATTCCATTTTCATTCTGTCTGTGTAGAAGTATATACATACATGGCAATGGCAATGGCCAATGGTGGCATTATATTATATTATATTGGTGTACACGCTACACAGTGCAGGCCACACACACAGCTTAGATGTTACACATCACTGTCTAGAGCTAAGCCGAGAAGTTCAGCCTAAGCCGAGAAGGATAAGTTTAATTATACTTCTAGTTGTCTAGAGCTACACATCATTGTTCACGTGTCCTGCCTCTCACAGGTCATACCAGAATGATAATGGTAGACGTACTTCTTTTGAGTACGCACATAAATACAGAGTAGCTCAATATGAATATGTACAGAGTTAACAACATGCACAATGTTTATACACAGACTAAAGACAACACATTTACACATGCAGCATGGGCTACCTGGCTGCAAAGCAAAGAAAATTTCTAGAGCTCGTCAGGTCAGCCAAATGTCTTCTCGCTGCTGTAGCACATGTAAAGGAAGCCATCCTTGTCCTTGTACGAGTCATAAACACTTCCCATCAGGCTAGCTGTGGGAAAAAATTGCATCATCACTTATCAATTCAGCTCAACCCATTTCTACTTATGCGAAATGTCTAGTTTCGACCTTCTGCATGTTAAAGTTCTAGCTCCTAATACCTTTTACAACAACGATCCTACCGTAATACAAGCCTACAACCAATGGACAAAATGTCTAAAGCTTCAGCAGGGATCAGAGAGTTATCAAAGGACAGACATCATATTATATTGATGAACAACAATCTCACCTGTTTGGGGCAAAGTGTTGTTTACAAACACAAAGAGAGCTGTTCCTGGAGATAGGTGCAGCCTGGAGCGTAGTATGAAAACAAACTGCCCAACCGGCATGTCACAGGGAACCAGGTACCTGCACCAAAAATAAATTTGTATTGCTACATTTCAATCTTCAATCAAAGAGAATGGTCAATGAGGATACTGTTACACTTCAGTTACGAGCAGCATGGAATCAATGCCAATGAAACACACAATCCATATCTAGTAATGTATAATGGGCAAAAGGGAGTAACAACTTACTTTCTCTTCTCCATTTGTGGTAAATTACTCCTTGAAAACCTTTCAACAACGACCTGCAAATAGAAGCTACTAATTCAGGACTGCCATGTTCATCAAGCAAGAGATGCCAAACAGAGATTAAGGGCAAAAGGGGAATGCAGAGAAAAATGTAGGTGATAATTTAGGTTGATATATATGATCAATTTCAGTTCGGTTGTTCTGAGTACCCAAAACTTATCAATGATTTTAGATTAGAAATTACAACGTTCCAAGACACTCATGAATGAATGTAAGAACCCTTGAGCATCAGAAAATTGATTTGCAGCCTTGCAGGAGTATGGTGGACATAACTGAAACCCTGAATAGACCAGCACAATTATAAACAAAATAAGATGAAACCCTGAAGGAACCCCCAGGCCCCAGCATGAGAAAGACATGGATTTCTTTTAGAATTCCGAAGTCCGAAAGGCTAGGAATTGCATGAGCAACAAAGGAATTCTCTGTATCCTAAAATCAGCTGTGCTGTTTGGTTCTGTAAATCAATATCCACATACACATGATGATGGTTGATTAACGTGTAGAGGAGGATGAATGGATGTGGAAAAGGAGAGGACAGAGCAGTATCAACTAAGACTACGAGTAGTAATCTATCTACGTAACCTATATAGATGGAACCCACTAAGGGTATACTTCTATTTCTTTGTAACCATGTTGATCCACGTCATCACCTAGGATCACTTATCGAGCCCAATGCAGCGATGCCGCCCTCATCTTCTTCTGCTTCCCAGCACTGCTGTCTATTCTGATTCATTCAAATCGTCTCCTCACTTTTCATTTTGCCAATTCATCCACTAAATTTACAAGCTAAAGTGCTAAGCAATCATGGCATCCATTATTTTCCTCATTATATGCACTTCTAATCCAATAGCTAACTGATGCATGCATGTTATGGTTTACCGCCTGACGTTCACTCTCTCCGCCATTATTGTCAACGTCTTTATTCTTTTGTAGTGGATTATTGATGAGTTTCTTAGTAATTAATTAATCTACATTCTATTACAGTAAGACTCAATCGTAAGATCGGTGGACGCACACGCTGCCATGCTGTGGCATCAGAGGTCTAGCATTCTCTCTCTCTCTCCCTCCCTCTCTAGCGTGTTCTCTCTCAGTTGCTAAGATCATGTATCAAACTCAATAGGGAAAAAAAACTGCAGAGAACTAACTAAAGTGCACCGAACTGCAGAGAATGCATCTCAGGACTATAGGCCCCTTCGAGCATAACAATGGTGCACGCAACACCGAGTAAGCAAGATGTATGCAAACCTCACTAACACTAGGCCTAAACCAAGAGCAAGCGCTTTTAGCCATGGTCTAACTAGCCTAAGCACTTCGCAAAGCACCTACACTAATCACCTAGTGATTCTTTAAGCACTATGTGTGGCATGAGCCACTAATCTTTCTTTGTTCCTCACTATAATGCCATCTTCATTTTGCTTATTTCTAAATACCCATTTGGTATCAATGACATTGTAGTTCTTTCGCCTCTCAACTAGCTCCCAAACTTGATTTCTTGTGAAATTGTTGAGCTCTTCATGCAAAGCATTGACCCAATCAACATCCTTCAAAGCTTCATCGATCTTGGTTGGTTCACTGGGAGACACAAATGAATAGTGCTCACAAAAGGATACAGGCCTTGATCTTGTTTGAACACCACTTCTTAAATCACCAACCATTTGATCCAATAGATGGTCCATTGCAATTGCTGGATGGATATCCGGTTGGACAATTTGCACTTGATTGCTTGAGCTTGGTGATAACTTGGTTGAATCGCTTGAGTTGGACTAGCCACTTGTTGATCTTGTGCTTGGTGAACTTGATCTTAATCATGAGAACCGCTAGTGCTAGGTTGATCATGATTTTAGAGTCATGTGTTACTTTATGTGCACCGAACTGCAGAGAATGCATTTCAAAAAAAAAAAAAGCTTCATTACTGTCTTGGATAGGTACAGAGAGGGTGAGAGGCATAAAACTAACTAAAGAATTGGTCCTCCCAAGTTACATTGATGTCTACAGATTGGTTCAGAGACAACAGCTATGATTCTATATAATAGATTGATTCAGATTGCAGCAGTAGCAAAAAAAAAAGAAATATTGGTTCAGAGACAACAGATCTGTTCAGATTACAGCTACCCCCCCAAAAAAAAAATTGAAATATAAACACTGCTCATATTCAGTACCAAATAGCATTTGTAATTGTATTGCAGCAGAAGGAACAGATAAAAAGGAAGAAGCTTGATAAGAAAAATTTTAGTCCATTTACACTAAAATTTATCCACACTGAACTGATGATAAGAGCTTCTATACTGCAATCTGAGGCTTCTATACTATATTTTTTGCTGAATTTGAAAAATGCTATGTGTGTGGATGCTTTTATTAGCATACAGCTTATTTTGCATACAACTCATGATAAGAACTGAATTGATGAATTTGAAAATGCTGGGAATTCATAGCAGTGTATGATTTCTCCATCGGTACGATAATATCTTAGCCGCATCACGAGAAAAAAAAAACTATGAAAGATACAGTTATGAGGACTTGTCTATCGTACACTCGTTTTTGTCACTCTACGGGAGCCACTCTTACTAAAATTGATGCTTATTTATTCGAATATGTCTCAGTCTCTCAGAATAGTATGATTTCAAGTTGAGTTGAAATTTATTTGTCTGTTGATTTTGACCCACAATTTTTTTGCGTCGAAAATTTAAAGACTCCCGAAGCAACGCAAGGGCAGTTGCTAGTAGAGTAAAATATCGAAAGGCAAAAGGTCTATTTGTGCGATGCTACAAAACCTCAGTAAGAATAGCCATGATTATTGCTCAGAAAATTAATGATCAAACAATATGTCAATATTCTAGAAAGAAAAATGATAATTGTCATGTGCAAGGAATTGTGTTTCAACATATTGCTTGTACAACGATAAGTGTATTGAAACGAAACAGGGTAAGGTCAGCTAATATAGTCATACCATGGTTTCATACATAGTTTTACAGGAAAAATAAAGACATGTTAGTGTTAGTCTGATCACATACATAAGAAAATAGCTAGTACTTGAAACAATAATTGACATTTTGCCACTTCCTGATGAGCAAATTATTACCGGCCTTAAAACCAGTTAGGCTGCTATATCTAGTGTGCACAAATGCCTTAAAACCCCATGTGAGCGCCTTTCTCTCAACCCCCTCTATTAAATTGAAAGGCAAACATTTCAGAGGCTTTTTATCTGATATGCTTGCTTTAGATTTTTGTAGAACTATGTTGATCTAACTTAATTCTTCTGCGGTTCGTAGACCACCCACAACTATGAGTACCCACATTTTTTTTTACTGAAGCTGCCCAAATGTTTTTACTGGAAGGCAGTCACAACTATGACCACCGACATGTTTTTTTGTTCCCATAATACACTACAAATTTGGACAAACGTCTAAGAACTGAAACCAGCATGATGTCTTTTGGTCACACATTCCATCAAACACCTCAAGGGCAAACAAGAAAAAGGGAAAAGCACACTGCACCAGGAACAATGGACCTGGACGAGCTTACCAGATGCGCCTGCCAAGTGGAGGCCAGTGGCGGAACCAGGGGGCACGGCCCCCCTACAAATACTAGGATTTACGGTACAACAAAGTACAAATTCACCTATTTTTTTATTAAAATATTGTTATTTTGGTTATAAATAGTGTAAAAAAATTTACGGCCTGTTCGGGAGGCCGTATCGTATCGTGGATTATTTACTGCTGGCTGGTTTGGTGTGAGAGAAAAACACTGTTTCCGGCTGGAAATTTACGATCGTTTACGAGCAAGCGAATAGGCCGTTAATTTTTTTGAGACATACACCTATATATATATTTTATCACACTTAAAGATGTCATCATATTTTTGTCCGACCCCCCTTAATCAAAAGTGCTGGTTCCGCCACTGGTGGAGATGGCGGAGAGGTCCCGAGGAGACGAGGACGGGTCGGAGCTTCCGCGCCGAGTTGAGAGAAAGACGAGGGAGATGGTGGAGAGGAGTGCGTCGGGACTGGGGGAGGAGGTTGGCGAGGTCGCAGCTGATCGGGAGGTATCGGAGAGGCAGCGGAGTCGGTAATCTTTTAGGGGTAGAAAAGAGAAGTAGAGATAGAGAAAGAGAGCAGAGAAAAGAGAGCACTGACTAGGAGTGGAGGCTACTATGATGGGCGACGGCAGTGGAGAAAACTGGAAGAATGAATGTGATATACTAGATGAGAAAGAAAGCAGAGAGGAACATAGAAGACGTGAAGCTCTGCGTCTGCGTTGGGGAATTTTATTTACTTTTTGACAAAAGCAGGGTGTCAAGTCAGCTCAGCTGGAGCCTGGAGGAGGAAATCCAAAGAACCATGCACACACACCATGACCATAAGTATGCATCATCTATTTGCTTACAGAAAATAAGTAGGTCTTGTGAATTACTACCTCTGTCCCCAAAAGGATGTAACTATGGTATGCGTGCTAGTTTAAGCGCTTCACGATTGATCAAGTTTCTAGTAAATAGTATTCACATTTATGGCACCAAATCAATTTATTATGAAAATACATTTTGTAACTAATCTAATGGTATTTATTTGATATTATAAATGTTTATACTTTTTTATCTATAATTAGTCAAACTTGATATACTAGGATATAACACTGTTTCAGAATTACATTCTTTTAGGGACGGAGGCAGTATTTTACTAGGACAGTAACGAAAGAAAAGAGGGATGTATCCACTTTGGCTGGCTGGGACAAGACGACACATGGTCTCTCGAATTTCCTGTTAACTAAGCTCGCTCGCTCAGATTAGTACAATGTGACACTTGATTGATGCGGCTGGCACGGGTGGGAATTGATGTAGACGTACTTACTCCCTCCGTCCAGAAAAGAATGTAACTATGGGATTCGTGCTGGTCAAATTAGCTCAACTTTGACCAAGTTTATAGCAAATAGTAGTAGTATTTGTGTCTCTAAATAGATTTATTATGAAAATATATTCTATAACTAATCTAATGGTACTTATTTTGTATCAAGAATGTTAGTATTTATTTATATAATTTTAGTCAAAGTTCAACCTGTTTGACTTCTCGAAAAACGATAATTGCATTCTTTTGTGGACGGAGGGAGTACATCTTTGGCGAGGCTGATCAGGTAGATAGATATTCGGCGGACGGCGGTGGCAGTGCCGGTGCCGGGACATGTCAGACACAGATGGCCGGCGGCGCGGAAGAGTCAAGAGATGCTGCTGCTTGTATGCTGTCGCCGCAGGCCCTAGGGCTGGGGCCGAGATGAGATGAGGGGAATCTCTCTGTCTACCTGCCGCCCTCCCAGGTGCGGAACCAGAACTTTTGATAGGGGGGTCGGACAATATGATGACACGTTCTAAATATGATAAATCTATACAACTTAGTGTATATCTTAATAGCTTTTCAATGTTTTTACATATATATTTAGTACTCACAAGAAAAAACACAATATTATCATAAAAAGAGTGAAATAATAATTTTTTGCTATGTAATTGATTTTTTTATAGGTATTAAAAAATTCAGTGTGGTTTGTATTTGCATCAGACTTGATTCATGCTACAACACTAGGTAGTAAACATGCGCACATGATTTGGATCATCTGTATCAACCAGTAATTTTTGCTAACATTAATCGTAGTAGTAATAATAATTTAAATTTTACATTTAAAATACAACAACTACCAGTTATTAAGTGGGCCTGAAAGAAAAGAAAAGAATGGAGCCCCATCAACGATATGGATAATTCAAGCATGGTGATAACACACACGCATGTTTCGTGTCCTCCAGAGTTCTTCTATCTAAAGGAAAATTAAAGAATTTGAGTATCAACTCTGAACCCATCCCAAGCTTTATTCAGATTCATTCCTGCGGAATAATCTACAAGCAGTAGTAAAATCATCTCCAGAATTCCACAAGTAACAAACAGTCCATTGCCCTGTTCGTTTCGCTGAAATTTGACTTATGCTGATTTGTTGTGAGAGGAAAACACTGTTTATTCGCTGAAAAGTATTTCAGAGTTTCAGAGGACTTGCTCAGTCGGTCTGCTCCTTCTTTCCATACAGCTTTTTATTCAGACAAGACAAAATCAGTACATACATACACATTGATTGATGTACGCAAGAACTGAAGATGGGCGTAAGGCAGGAATATAATGGGTGCACTCTAGTGATCTAGTCTATACCCATACATACACACACACTACTGCTAACTCATACTACATAGTGCTAGCTTGATTTCCCTGTAATAAACACACTCACACAAGTAGATGTAAAAGAAGAAGAAGAAGAAGACTGTGCCTGACTGTCTGAATCTGAATGTTTTTTGTGCAGGCAGGCCGCTAGCTAGACAAAATCGAAGCGCATGAGGAGCCTGACAGACTTGTACCTGTTGCCCTTGCGGTCGTGCAGGGGCACAGCACGGATGCCCTGCTTCAGCTCCCAAACCGGCAGGCACATCTGCCCCCCAAAGTCGTGCTTCTCCGACATGTCGTACTCATGCACCTCTATCCTCAGGAGGGCCAGCTCCGGCACCCTCAGAGGGAATGTGAACTCCTCGTCCCACACTGGCACCCACTGGTCTTCGATCACCCTTGTCTTCTTCATCACAGTGTCCGCCATCACTCCAGCGATCCCTACCTGTACGCTTTCAGAGAGCATGTCGATTGAAAACCACTAGTTACAACTTCATCCCAGGATGTCATTTTCATGTCACTACTATTAACCCAAATGAACATCTTTGTGCCTTACCCTGGTATAGAAATCTGGAGGTGAAAAGGCATCGAAATGAGTCTTGCTGAAATCCATGCGCCATCCATCTCCCATATATACCTTTACCTGCTTGGACAACACAACAGATTTAGGTATATGCTGGACTAGCTCGATTGGAACATTTTTTTTAGCAAACTCAGTTGTCAAAATCTGGGAAACATACACCTACCTTGAGAGTTTTCTTCACTGGCAAACTACCGTTGGGGTCGAATACTTCCCCATTTGGACCTGTCCTTAGCAAGAAGTCAGGTTTTTTAACATACCCACAGCCCCCATTGGCTCTGAAAAATCCTTGCATCAACCGGAGCGCTTTATCATGCCCCTGAAAAATGAAAGCCCAACGTATTATGCTTTAATGCTCTAGGCAGTCACACATATTAATACTATGCGAGTATAAAAGCACGAAGAAAGTGGAAATTAGTGGCTCACAGGGCAGTTAAGAACTGAAACCTCACCTGCATGTTGAATGCAACCATCTGAGCACCATGAGTCCAGGCATTCATTGGATCATAGTTTGAAGAATTAACTCTCATGCCCTTTGGATACACACGGAGTATATTATTCTGGGTGAACCTGAACAGAATTCAAATTTTCCTCAGCAAGTGTATGACTACGGTAACTATCTTGAAGAGATGCAATCTTATGACTGGTTAATGTTGATAATTTCAGGAATAAATAATTTTATATTTTCAACTAACAGATAGCATGTGTTGCCTATCTTTTGTACGGAGCTATGGAATTCAGCCTTTTATTGAATTATCATGTGTGTCCTGTAACCTTGGCAACACTGGCAGTTCCTTTTTTTTCCCCATTTTTTCACATTACATAATGTAAGACTACAATATAAACCTGCTGAACCCCTATGGACTAAAAGAGAGGAATAGATTCAATGGCATAAGCAACACATTGAGATTATAAAACCCACAACAGCGATCTTATAACAACTCAATACCAAATCTTCTAGTATTCTTGTGCACTGAAATGAATCACACAAATTACCTTATGACTTCAGCCCCATGAGAAGTTGTTGCTTTAGCTAACTGTGTCTCACTCAAAGAAAGCCGCCTGACTTTTTCTGGATCCACCTTTAGCGCATCCCGCAAATGGCCTTTTGGTTTGCCAGCTTGGATGGTGATCAGATTCCTATACTCACAGGCAGTGTCCTGCTGAAATTTGGGATCATCCTCGTCGGAATCTTCCTCATCTTGCTCATCCAGTTCATCCTGTTTATGGAAATAAGTTTATCTCATTTGTGTTAAATCATGGGTGCGTGTCTAGACAAGACAGTGATATTGCAGACCTTTCCATCAGATTCATCGGCATTTGAATCTATTCTTCTTAGGCTTCCTGTGTCTACAGCTAGATTTCCACTGCCATTTTGGTTATCAGCATTTGAATCTATTCTTCTTAGGCTTCCTGTGTCTGGCAAATCAGCTATGTTTCCACTGCCATTTTGGTTATCCTTAACTTTGACGAACTCCTTGTACTCTTGTGGGGGTTTAGTCGAGATGATTATTCTCCTCATCAGAGCTGCTGGAGAGGGGAACTCTTTCATTGGGTCTGAACTAGGTATGAAAAGTAGATCTCCGAATGTTTCAGTGAGCATCTATGATAACTTAAAGTCAGAATTGAGGTTTTAAACAGGACAAGTGCAAGGAGTTGATATACTAAGCAAACTTTACCTTAGCTACTTTGGCTTGGAGATCTGGTGTAAGGTGATCCTCAAGAGTGATAACAAGCGGATATGTTGATGCACAAAAGGCATATTCTTTAATGGACTTCAAGCACCTGATCATTTCTACCGGCGCAGTCAATGTCCTTTAAAATGCCAAGAAAAAAGAAGAGTGGGGGAGTTAATTTTTGCAAAGCCAGAGAGAACAAAAAGGATGGTTGCAAATTCAAGCAGCATGGATTACTTATAACAAACTGGCTTATATAAATATAGAACTACGGTGCTGGTTCAGAGGAAATTATACTTCTTGCTACACTGTAATGTGTAGGGAAAAAGAACTAAATTTATCCTTTGGCTTGAAGAAATGGTGATATTTGTTATGCCATGCTACAAACTATGCACAATATGTGATTTCTTTTCAAGTGTCCCGTAATGCCATTTAGTGTGGGGGTTTTGAGAACTGGGAACATTGCAGCCATAATGCCATACTCACACATATGCAGTTGTTTTTATACGCAGATGTTGCAGTAAATCCATGGGAATAAAATAGTGAATGTGTTTTTAAAACAGAATGCATACCCGCCATGAAGAATATCGACATTTGTCTTTGAAGAATTTGGCCACATATCAAGTTCAATGACTCTAACACCTCTCTGCAATGCTTTTATAATTGGGATGTCGCTGGAGTCACTATTGAGCTGGTTCCCAGTTAGGTAGGAATTATGTCCGGTGAATACGAAATAATGAGAGATTGGGGCAGACATGTCCTGGTGAACCTGAACAAAGAATTTAGGTAATGGTGAGACAAGAGGCAAAAAACAATTTATTTATTGGTATTGATGAACAATATTTTGCATTTCTTTTGTACAAGAGGCTAAAGCACACCACATTCACAAACAGTGCAAAGAGTTATGGTTTAGGAGCTTTGAAATGAATTTAATAATTGATAGTAGTAGTAAGTAATCCAAAGGCGCATCTTTTGTACCATTTTGAGAAGAAGACTGTTGGTATTCTACTCGGCTATCTATTAGTACTAGTATTTGGTGGCTGCAATGTGAAGGCAGGGTACAACAAATAGTAGGAAATGCAGTAGCGTCCAAAATTGAATTGGATAGCAGCACCCCTACAGAGAGAGGAGGAGAATGACCGGTGTTGGAGAAAAAGACAGGCAATGACTGAATGAAGCATTGAAGCATGTTCGGGGAACTGAATGAAGCTCCCATGTCCTCCAACAATTCCATGGATTGAAAGACAGAGACAGGTAAAATTGGAATTTTTTTTCTCCTCTATTAAAATATTTGCCTGGCAGAAGTTCTGCCGGCAATCTTCGAAAAAAATTGGAATCTTTTTGAGGTGGGTGGGAGGGGGGAGTTGACAGTTGACCTCGGGACAAGGTACTGCAATTGCAGTCAACCATTAATGTTGTAAGACTGTTAATCGTAGCTTAACAGCAGACAGAAATGGAATCATGAGCATGGAGGTAGCTAATAAATCATGTATCTGGCAATCAATCAGCATCGATGATGATTGATAAAAATGGAGGTACAGTATTAAGTAAGCAGCGATTCGTCGTGGGATTTGGTAGAGAGGAGGGAGAGGCAGGAGCCAGCAGGCGCCAGGCAAGAGGCAACCAACCTGGTGAGCCATGGGCGGGTTGAGTTCCGGCGAGAAGAGGAAGGCGAAGAAGTCGTCGAGCGTGGGCATCGCCGGCGCCGGCGACCTGGTGACGAGGCGGGCGATGCCATGTCCCCCCGAGGCGGCGGTGAGCAGGGCGTGGATGCGGTCGACGTCGGCGGGGTGCTCGGCCTGCGCCTGGGAGAGGAAGCGGCGGAGGGCGTGGACGTCGGAGTTGAAGGAGAGGTAGGCGGCGCGGACGTCGGGTGGCGGCTGGGCGTCGGGGGATCGGAACTTGCGCGTGAAGCACATGCAGTACTTGTACTTGTAGCTGCCCATGGGCGATGGAGGACGGATCCTCTGTTCCAATCCTCCTCTGCTGGTAGTAGTGATTGTTGAGCGAGCTGGGTTGCTCCGAATCTGATCTGCCTGACGACGAGTGAAAAGCTTTATTAGGCGGCGCTGGGCATTTCTCTTCGCGTGGAGGCCGCGTTGGGCGTTACCTTGACTTGACGAAGAGATTCGGGGGAAGTAATGATGGAATAGAATCACAACTGGGAGGAAGGAAGGAAGAAGGTAATGGGGATGGAGGCGAGGAGACAGATACACACAGACACTTCAGGACTCCACTTCCTGACCTCTTCTTGTCCCTTAATTATGTAAATATAATAATTGATAGCAATTACCCTGCTCCTGTGCTATGCTAATTGCTTACTCAAGCAAAGCAAACCACATGGAAAATGAGAGAAAATGAACGAAGACGAAGAAGCAGCAGTGCAGAGGCACCATTTGAAAAGGCGGGGACCGGGGAGGTTCTTTTCCATAAAACTCCTAGTTATAAAAAATGAACTTATTCCTATCCCTATCTACGAGTAGGGCGCGCATAGCCCAAAAAGTTTTTCTTGTTCCCATCAAACTACTACTTTGCCTGTTGAATGGTTAATTGTTGGTCCTTGTACTTATCATCAACATGATTCTTTTCTTAATTTATCTATATATACTCCATACTGGAAATTTTTTTTTATCTTCCATCTACTCTACCGACCAGTTAGAGCAACTCCAGCAGGGACATCCAAATCAGGGCCCCTACTTTTGATTTGGGTGCCCCCCTATTTTTGTTGGCCCAGATTTTTACTTTCACTCCAACACCATCCCCAAATTTAGGCCCCAAATCCATTCAGATAGACAATGACAAAAGGGGCCCACTCATCATTCTCTGTCCTCTAAGCTATACGATTGGGGAAGAGAGAAAGAGGGGAAGCGGCGTTGGAGCTCGTCGCGCGGCGTCGGGAAAGCGGATCCGCTCCTCCTCCAAAGGCGTCGGGTCCTCGCGGGCAAGGTTGCACGGCGGCCTGTGGGTGCGGCTTCCTTGTTCGTCGCGACGCCTCGGGGAAGAGGCGCCACGGTCGGTGGGCGCGGCTTCCTCGTTTGCCGCGACACCTCGGGGAAGGGCACGCGGCAGCCGGTGCCGGCGCTGGCGTCGGTGCCCACATTAGAGTCGAGTCTCGGCGGCGGTGGCTGTTGCGGACCGCGCTCGCCTCGCCGTTGGAGCCATTGGGAAGTCGCGCCATTTGACTCACCGCTGGGATGTCGCGCGCGGGGAGAAGGTGCATCGCACTGGGGGCGGAGGTGCGACACCGGCGTGGGTTCCATAGGAGCGCGGGTCAAAAAGACACAACAGCGGATGGGGGCTGGGGGATGAGCCCCCGGAATTGGGTCCCTAGGGAGGATTTGGGTGTCCATCCCAAATATGGGCTCTAGTAGGAGTCCCTGCTGGAGCTACGGTTTTTGCTTAGACATCTATATTTAGCTATGTGGTTTAAGTAGGACTCTGTTGGAGTTGGTCTTATAGAAGAAGAAACAACTCGTGTACGTAGTGATAGTGTACCATGGATGTATGTTCCTTCCCTTGAAAAGTTTTCTACGATGTTCCGTCCCTGTGACGACTGTTCGGTTCATTATCCTCCTATTGCGTTGGACGCCAAAATCAAGGGTAATAATTGGAAATCGAGTCCTTATATATGAGATTAAGTCATGAAACCCAAGACAATCCACGTATAATTACTAATATCTATTCATTCGTGGCACTTTATTAGTTGTTTTAAGTAAAGAAATGCAATAACTAGACTCATTAAGTATGTGCATATACGCTAGTAATATAATATTTTTTTACAATTGAAAGCTTGGCTGAGTTAAGAACATAGAGGAGTTGAGCGGCTCCACGCCTCCACCTGGGTGATTTTCCATTCACTCATGGCGCTTTACTCGTAGTGTTAATTAAAGTAATGCTCCAACCAAAAGTAAGGCTAATATAATAGCCATATTATGCTGTCAGTGGCCAAAAGTAGACATACCCAAATTTTGACTTTCGGGCATAGCATTTTCTCGGAACCACGACAACGCACTAACCATATTCATTTATGCATCTCATTTTGTAAATGTAATAAAAGTTTAAACTCCAAATATCTATTCATTTTCGGTTCTGTGATATTCTATACCAGAATCTCTCTACTCCACCCACACCCATAAAAATATAGCTACGACCTCTTTAAAAGATAGAAATTTAACTGAAATCAGTCCATTTCCACAAGAAAGATGCAGGATAAATTCCCGCGTACCAAAAAAGAGTCATAGCTATAGTATGTGTTTATACACTAATCTTTCACGTGATAAATGACTTGTGTTGTATATGTGTTTGTCGTCTCAAAAAAAAAAACAAGGATTAAGTTAACTCACCCACAAAAAAGAAAAGATTGACAACAAACGCGCGGCCCGTTCGGCTTACCGCATATTCGGCTTGTTTTTTCAGCCGGAACAGTGTTTTTCTCTCACAACAATTCAGTCAGAACAGTGTTTTTCAACCATTTTCAGCCAAGATTCAGCAAGTTGAACGGGGCAACCGGTTGTACTGTGTTCGCAAAAACAAAAAAATCAGTACCGTATATATCAATACACCACAAGTGAGGGGTTCATGTGCAAAGGGGATGGTAAGTTAAGCCTTTTCAACATACATACAAATACAGCGCAGGTGAGCTAGACATATGGGGAAAAGCTTATTTTTACGCGTCAAGATCTTGGGAATGAAAACAAAATTAACAAATACGTACGTACTACTCCCTCCACTCTAAATTACAAGTCACTTTGATTTTTTTGATATATTCATTTTACTATGCATCTAGATATAATATTATATCTAGATATATGAGAAAATAAATGAATCAAAAAAGTCAAAGAACATATGGAGTACCATGCAACAACTTGTGCTATGAATGAAAACAAAATTAACACAAGACGTGGACGAGGCGGATAACACCAACGCAGCTGGCGTCAGCTTATACTACATCATATGAGAATTTATTTTATTTTATTGTATTGTATTTTACTTTATTTTATTTTATTTTATGACTCCACCGAGGTACTACAACATAATTAATACAATGTGAACAAACTTGACCTGACCTCGGATGCACAGCCAAGTCAACCATCACCATCAGAGGAGAGCGGGGCGTTGGGCTGTTCTTGTTCACCTAGTACATTTGACTTTTACTGTTCCCTTGAATATTGGTCCACAGTGGTAGTACTGTACTCAATGTCTAAAGTTGCGCATTTTCAGTGTTTAAAGGTTTCATCCCATCAAACTGTTAAATGGTTGCTAATGAGCTTGTTCGCTACAGCTTATGCTGCAATTTGTGAACTAAAAACACTATAGAAGACAACTGACGCAAGCTGCAGGCCTACAGCAACAGATCTATACTCCTTCTGTCTCATAAAAAAATATTATTATTACTTTTCGAGAAGTCAATATTTTTAACTTTAATAAAAATATACACAAAAGATATTAATATTTATGGTGCATAATAAATATTATTAAATTAATTGTTGAATATATACAAATATTGATTATATATTTTTAACAAATCTAGTTAACCTAAAATTTTTTTGATCTAAATAAAACCCTATGCGACACTCTTTTCGATACAGGGAGTACTCCCTCCTCTTGTTTTACACGCCATATTAGGGCTCTTCTCGCTTGAGCTTATAAGTCAGAATCAGCTCTACTTTTTCAGCCATGGAACAAATCAGCCACAGCAGCAATAAGTTCTGCCGAATAGATGCTAGGTTTGTCCTAAGTCAAACATTTCTAATTTTAACTATCAATTTTTTAAAAAATTAATTTAGTTTCATAACATATGAACTATATATTATAAAACTATTTTTCATAGTGAATCTAAAGCATAAATCTTATGTTATTAACCTATATAATTTTAAAAAATTAGTAGTTAAAGTTAAAAATATTTGATTTAGCATAAGCCTAATACGACATGTAAAAACAAACGAAAGGAATACTTATCAACATGTGGCAATCGCAAAGCCAGATGCAAATGGTCCGAGAAAAATAAAGTTCTAGTGATGTTGCAATTCCATTAGAGTGAGGGACTAATTTGCAAAGATACTACTAATCCTTAAGAAATGATGAAGGTCAACTAGATCAACGGAAACAATATTGCATTGCAGTGGGAAATGAACACAAAATACAAATATCATGACTCGATACGACCGACCGATCGAGTCCCCTAAAATTATACGCTATTAATAGGACGTAGGCGTCCGTCCGGACGCCATGCACCCACTCCGCCTCGCTGCTGCCGCGTGCCCTATCCCACGCCTCTCGCCCCCGCCTGTCGCGCGCGCCGTCTGCTCCCTCCCGTCGCTGGCGCTGGTGCTGGTGGTGCTCACTCCGCCCGTCGCGTGCATAGCCCGCCAATCCAAGCCAAGCTCGGTGTGGCGGCGGCGGCGGTGGTGGTGCTCGCACGCCGCCACTGGTGCTGGTGCTGGTGGTGCTCGTGCGCCGCCGCTCGCCGCCGGCTCCGACCTTGATGGCTGGAATCGGCCTGCCCCGCCCCCCCATATTTCAAAACACATATTTTAGATGTTTCATAGATATGTTGCAAGTGTTTTATATGGATGTTGTAAAATTAGATCGGGATGTTGCAGATGCTACAATGCTTGTACTCGTACGTTGCAAACTTCTGTTTTCGATGTTTCATCTATTCTTTCAGACGTATGTTGCAAATGTGTTTACATGGATGTTGCATATGTTTCACACATATGTTGCAAGTGTTTTATTTTAATGTTGCTATGTTTATAGTGGTTTCAAGTGTTTTTTAGTGTTTTGCAAATGTTTCAGACACATGTTCCAAATGTTTCATTTGTCCTCAGGCGTATGTTGTAAGTGTTGCATTTGGATGTTTCAAAAGTAGATCAAGTGTTGCATATCACTCCTTGCCTTCTGCCGCCTCGCCTCGGTGTCAGACGCGGGAAGCGAGCACAGGCGCAAGCGGTTCCCGCTGGGCGGGCGGTCCCCACGCGCATGCGCAGCAACAGGCGTGGCGTGCATGAGGCGGGCATGCGCAGCAGTAGGCAGGCACGCGTAGCAACAATAGGCGTGGGTGGGCAGGCACAACAGGTGAGGCAAGCGGGGCCGGCGCGGGTGTTCGAACGAGGGCTAGCGTCCGGACGTCCGGGCACTGCTGCGCTAGCCACCCCAAAATTATACTCTGTTGGGTTTCATAATTCTTTTATTTTGGACAACTCGACATGGTCCCAAAAAAAGATTTGTTCATACATCTGTCATATAATATGCAAATCTCAAGACAAATCAATACATGCAAATCTCAGTGTGGTCAAAATATTTATTTTTTGATTCACTGATAATTAAAATTTAAATTTTTTAATTAGAACCTTACCAAAATGACAAGAATTGTACGTCCGGAGGGAAAATCAACTTTAACTAACTATAATATTATGACTCCGGTTGCCAGCCTATTACCTGCATTGAGTGCGGTGTACTAGTGGTAAACAGCAATATTGGATCTACTTAGTGGTCGTTCTACAAGACCTTTATTCATACAGCTTTTAGTTTGTTTAATATTCGACCAGATCGTTTCTTCACCAACCAAGGATCTTCTTTATTGATTCGTTTTTCTATTTTGTTTCCAAGCGTTGGTAATGTGAACAGCCTTGACGTGACCAGCTAGCTGGGGACTGCACTGCAGCGATAAGATGGAACCCAATTCCAACCACCAAATTAAGGACACCATGGACACAGGTTGTTCATACTGGCCCAAACGTGGTATTATTTCTTTTTATAATTAACCACAGCTACCACTGTATTGTTGTCTTTTTTTTCACAGTTTTCGGTCTGTTGGGATGTTGAGGCCATAGATCTTTGTACCTCCTCTCCTACTGCTGTGGTAATCCGAAGATTACTTGCGAATTCTTGCACCTTTTCAAACTCTACTTTCTCTTAAGGGAAAACGTGACTCACGATATGATCGTGAAAAAAAAGATCTATCACAGTATTACTCCCTCCGCCCCAGTATATAAGGCGTAACTACCTCTAGTTCAAAGACCAAGGAACATATTTAATTCTCTCTGTCAACACTAGTATTACTGCATCGATGCACGTGTGTCTATAGAGAGCACAACTTATATTATGGTATATGAATAAAAAGTGGTTACGCCTTATATATTAGGATAAGGGAGTATTGTTAGTGTCTGGAGGATACAAACATGCATTTAGTAACCAACTTTAATTTATTCCTCCCCAATGGTTCCATTTGAGTAAGTATATTATATATATTTGACATATATAGGTCTTGAAGTGAAATCATAGCTTTGATCAATAATTGTAGCTATAAATATGTTAGACAGGAACACATATCAGAGACAGAGATATATATCCAATTAAAAACGAATACTGTGCTTTTTGGGGGGTTAAAAAAAGGTTCGCAGCACTTGCTTTATTCTTTCCTCCCTCGGTCAGTTAGTTAGGCAAAAGCAGACAAGCCTGTATGTTTGGTAAAAAATGCCACTCTCTACTTATTATTTACAGAAGAATGGAAACACAAGCAAGTTAACAAATTCTAACACGCATCGTTGCAGAACATGGCGGGCAGCTGCGGACAGATGACTTTGGTGGATCCATAAGCTTCAATGATATTCCTTCCACCGTTCTATTTGTAAATAGTTCTATCGTTGTTTCTAGATACATATATTTTAGAACCGAGGATAAAGTACTAGTAAAAATAAAATGACTCCTATCAATATCGAAATCACCTAGGAGTAATATAATTAAGGTGGGCGTAAAAATGGTGAAAGGCCGGTACACCTATTATATATAGAGAGGATCTCAGCTCGAGGGCAAGGTAAAAAACACATGGTATGTACTAAGTACTATATATTGATATACAGTGCGACCGAGACACTTGAAGGCCTTCATTGAATATAATGGAGATGAGGGCTAAATTAAAGTCAAACTTGCATATAATGGAGTACTCCTATATTGCTTGTTTAAGGACACACATAAAAGTAGTCTCCACCTTTTTTTTTTAAAAAAAGTAGAGACTCACCTTCTGAACCATGCGTCTTGAGAGGATCTTGTGATACATACTCTAAGCGGTGGTGGAGCCAATGCAAATGCATCACCTTGTTGTATCTTGTATGTCCCTGGCTTTAATTTGCAAGCCTAGCTACAGTATATAACTTGATAGATGCTTCATTACATACAGCTGCCAACGCGTTATACATTATATAATCAGCTCAACCAGCGATCGAAGAAGTTAATTAATGGCTTTGCATTGCAGCGAGACTTGGGATGATTGATGAAGCAACCTGTCAAATGAAAGGAAGAAACTCAGATACATCGGTGTTTGGCTCTGCACGCGTGGTACTACCTCTTGGTCCCAGAAATAGTGTTAAGTTTGACCAAATTTGTATATCTATTTATTATATTTATCATGCTCAATATATATCATAAGATTCGTAATTCAATACATTTTTATATATAGTATATCTATTTAAAATAAATTTGTTAATAATATTATTATGAACTTAGCTAAATTTAAGATAGTTTTGACATGAATCACACCGAGAATTATATTCTTTTTAGGACGGAGGGAGAACTGTACATGATGATTTTACCGGCTATCTTTTTAATTGCATACATATATTGTTATGTTCATTACCTTTTGTCAAGCTGCATGTCATGTTGAATTGAGGGACGCCATGTTTCAGGGGTGGATGGGGAAGGTCAATTCAAAGTCCCGAAAAAAAAACTTTACGCTTTTGCTTCTTCTTCTTCATATATATGTATGTATAGTCAGCTAACATATAGTAATGGTGCATATAAACATTTAGATTGAACAAATTAATTAGTTAAAAATATGTCCTAAACACCATATGTTTATGAAACCTGTAAAGATTACAAAACACGCAAACGTACAAATCAGATACAAAGGCACAAAAAAGAGCAGAAATTTCCACCCAAAACAACCATAGCGCACAAAGAATATATACATATATGATGTTATTCTGCTGCTACTTAAGAATTTCTGAGCAACATGTTCCTCCACCACCATGGAGCATCGTATTTGTATGGATATACACACATGTATATATGCTTATGCCATGTATGGATGTAATATTTTTTAATTTCACACGTGGATATATATCAATACATTCCATTTGTTTAATCAATCAACACGGTACTTGGATCGTCTTTTGTAGATGATACTAGTGGAGGGCGCGCGCCCTCGCGCGCGAGGGCAAAGAATTATGGTAAGAATTATTTATGTATGGCACACATGTCATAGACTTGGTGGTAACATGGATTTGTCTTTCAGCATGTGAACAAAAAGACATATAGGTTCATACCGGTTGCAGATAGTCATTAGGATCTCCGTTCTTTGTGCAAACAATGCTAATCATCAGGCTGGTGGATTTGAATAGCCGCCATAAAAAATAAATCAATCATCTAGATGTAGTCAAAACCAAAATCTAACAGGATCGAACTTGAATCCCTGAAAACCAAAAGGGAAAAGGGACAGAGGTTGGAAGAGGAGGGGAGGAGAAGAACGGAGCCTCACCCTAACCACATCACAAGCAGCCTAAGTCACAATGCAGTGCTTTATAACAGGAATAGTTTTTCCTTTAGAGGGTAGAGTTTCAGAGATCTAGAGGAGAGATTCAGAGATACCTAAGATACTTGAGATCTCCATCAGCTTCGTCACTGCTTCTTGTTTCTCTGCAAAAACAAAGTGCGCCACCGTGCTATCAAATTACTGGAAGCGAGACACAAGGATAGGTTATGTAAACCCAAGATGTTATCTGCTTAGAAGAGGCAGTATTAGAATAGCAGATCAACCAGATAAAGCAAAACCGGGCACAATAGACCGATAATTTGCAGTTAAACAATGTCTTGAAGAGGTAGCTTCAAATCTAAGTGTGAGAATAATCAAATCTATTCTTGCATAATGTGCACATGAATATGAAAATATGGCGGGTATAACCGATATTGGAAATCGCCTAGGAATGTGAAAGGAAGAAGGGCAAATAAACAGTCTGTATATCCATATGTAGTTAGAATCATATAGGTAACAGGGAGCTCTAAGCTTCCATGGTAAGATCTTTTCCGCTACTCGTCGCCACAACTAACGAGCTGGCCTTTCATAGAATCTCCTCAAGATGTAATTGTAATGAGCAACATAATTATTAATCTAGTTATGGCCAATCTGAACCCAGGTGAAAGTGGGTACTGCAAGTTTCAAATGCAAAGAAACAGTTGGAAGCATTTTGTCAAAAAGATTCAGACAGAAAAGATTTAATGATTACATTATGTTCCAGGAAATAGGAATTGGGATGTGCTAGATGGATCAAGGAGCCGGATGGTACAGCTCTCAGCAACACAACTGTTTGAGCTAATTGTGGCGGGGTTTAGATATGAGCTTGACCTTCAACTGCTTCAATTTTAGATAAGAGGTCTATGGCCATTTGAACCTTCTTCACAAACGACGGCGCAGAACCTTGAGTGACAAGCGATGAATTAAAATGGATTTAGCTATCAAATAAGTGCATTTGACAAATCAAGTAATTTTATCATATGTTCTCTCTTACCATTCACGGCGTCATTCATTTGTCGGCGTTGGAACACATCACAAATGTCAACATTAGTATTATAGGCCCTTGTATAGTAAGAGGGGTCATTCATTATACCGCCAATATCTCCATAGACATCAAGAAGATATTTGTTTAGTCTACGGAGACGTGCATTTTGTCTAGGATTAAAACCTGGTGGATATGAATACTACAAAAAAGACGACATGGTAGCTTCAGAAACAAAAGACAATGGTGCTGCAAACAAGATGGCATTGCTTCGTCATAAACAAAACATAGCAGAAGGTATGGTAGCTTCAGAAACAAGATACAGCACACAACCCAAAATCCCCTGCATAGAAGAACGATGAAATCCAATAACCAATACATAGTAGAACACTGACCCTGACCATTAGATGGACAACTTGTTTGCCAACATCACAAACTTTGCCATCCCAAATCAACATCAGAAATATAACATTAGACTAGGTATTGCCATCCAAATCAACATTAGAAATATAACATCAGACTAGGTATTGCTATCCAAATCAACATCAGAAATATAACATTAGACTAGGTATTGCCATCCAAATCAACATCACATCAACACACGGTATAAATTCATCGTTACCTCTTCAGGTACTTCGAGCGTCCGAGTCACACAGATCAGCACTAGTCGTGGAGGAGGGGTCATGCCGCGCAGCACTAGTGGATCATGGATGGGGCGGATGTCATTCCCATTTTTGTAGCGCCAATGGCCCATCTCATGAATATGAGAAACGAACAGCATATCTGAGGAGAGGAAGAAGAAAAATCATGAACGTGAAAAAGGAAAATAAACAATAGATCTGAGGAGAGGAAGAATAAAAATCACGAACGTGGAATAGTAGATCTGAAGAGAGGAGAAAGGAAGAGTAGGGCATTCACCTAGATTGAAACGCAACGATGCGAGGTGGGGGCGGGGGCGGGGGCGGCGTAGGCGGTGCCGGGTGGGGACACGAGGCGAAGAAGGTGGAGGAGGGAGGTGGGTGTAGATGGCGCGGTGGAGGCAGGGGCGGCGTAGGCGGTGATCGGTGAGGACGAGGAAGGTGGAGGTTGTAGATGGTCGAAGATGGAGTGGTGTAGGCGGAGAGATTTGATTATTTAGGACATAAAACATTGGCCTTTGATCATGTTGACACTAGACTCATATTCATAGACACAGATGGACCCATTTGTCATTCACCCGAGTATCAACATAATCAAGAATTCAATCTTTTTGAGTCCTAAATATGCAATTAATTCAGTGTAGGCGGGGGCGGCGCGGTGGCGATGTCGATCGCATGGAGAAAATGCTCCAAGGTGGAAGAATGCGGACGGGATTGCGGTGCACGGACGGGAGTCGGTGCCACGGTGTTGGGGAGGGCGGGAGGGAGGCACTTGTGCTCTCTGTGATTGGGCGGTGGAGAGTGTAGAGAATTTGGCCCAATATCTAGTGACACTTCCGACTGAAAATCAAAGATACTATAAGAGGGTATTTTGGGCCACGGCCCTAGTAGCCCTAGGCCCATATCCGCCCTTTTTAATGGAATTAGAGCTAGCAAATGCTGACTGTGCTAGTATAGGGTCTAGATGGCGGACTAGAGGGGATGAATAGTCCTTTCTAAAACTTAATTGCGCTGGCTAACCTAAACAAGTGCGGAATTAAAACTATCGATCTAGCCAAGACTACACCCATCTATCTATGTTCTCTAGCACATTGCAAATATCCTAATTAAGCAACTAAGGTGCCAAGCTAGTTAGAGCTCACCTATCCAATTCTAAAACCAATGTCACACAAACCTATGCCACTAGTATTTTGCACACCGGGAAGCTCCTACACACTTCTAGTAAGCAAAAGCACAAAGCTCCTAAGCTCACTAGCAATGCTCAATAACAAGACAATCAATGCCAAATTAGAGAGCGCAAAGCAAATACTTAGCTACACAAACTAAGCAATGTGACTAACAAGTTTACACAAACCAAATTAACCACGCAAGGGAGCTACTTCTATGCTACATACGCAAGAAGGTAACTAGTGAGCTACACAAGCTAACTAATTACAAGAGCAACTACACAAGCACAATATATATGAAAGTAATTACAAGCTTGTGAAATGGGATTGCAAATCAACGGGAAGAATAATGTTGACATGGTGATTTTCTATCGAGGTTCACGTGCTTGTCAACACGCTACGTCCCTCGTTGTGTCGACCGCTCACTTGGTGGTTCGGCGGCTAATTGGCATCACCCGCCAAGCCCACACGTCGGGCACCACAAGAACCTACCCAAAAGTGAGGGTAGCTCAATGACACACTCAACTAGAGTTGCTCTTCGTGGCTCCCGTCAGGGCGAGAGCACAATGCCCCTCACAAAGCTCTTCTCCTGGAGCACCGTCATAAGCTTCTTGCGGGCTTCGACGGAGACCACCACCAAGCCGTCTAGGAGATGGCAACCTCTAAGAATAACAAGCACCACCGACTTACAACTCGATCACTTAGTGCCACATGATGCAATCTCATGATGCAATCGCACTAGAATTGCTCACTCACTCGATCGGATGAACACTATCAAACATGTGTGAGATGGAGGGCTTCTAAGCACTCTCAAGCATGGACACAAAGTCCCCCAAGGTGCTCAACCCCATCCATGGTCGAGACCCCCTTCTATTTATAGCCCCCACAAAAATAGAGCCGTTGTACCCCTTCACTGGGCACAGCTCGGGGTGATCGGACGCTCCGGTCAGATCGACCGGACGCACCTAGCCAGCGTCCAGTCAACGGATGCACACCACGCGTCGCCTCCGTTCAACCTCAGTCACTAGATCTCAATGGTTGGTTGTCTCGCACCAACAGTCAAGTCATGACCGGACGCAGCACGGTGAGATGACCGGACGCTGCTACGTCTAAGTCCGGTCGTTTCCAGAAAGCTGCCCGAGCCTCTGTTTTGCGATCCGCTCCTGTACTACCGGACGCAGCACCTGAGTTCGGTCATTCTCCAACTGCCACGTGTCACTGTTGTTCCTCACGCCACCACATCAACAGATGTCAAGATCGACTTGACGCAGCCCTGAAGCGCCCCGGTCACTCTTTCGCTCACGGCATAGCGTCGATCCACGAGACCAAGATCTGCGCGCTCATCGCTGCCATCGACCGGACAAGACGGTCCTACCGAGGCCAGCGTCCGGTCACTCTCAGTGACCTCCTTTCAGCCTCCGGTTCTTCACCGAGTTGGTCCGTTTCAACTCCAACACCTCCTTTGCAATTGTGCCAACACCACCAAGTGTACACCACCATGTGTATGTGTGTTAGCTTTTCACAAATATTTTTCAAAGGATTAGCCACTCAACTTGCCACGCCACTCAATCCTAGCGACGATGCAAGGTTAGATCACTCGAGTGACACTAGATGACCGATATGCAAACAAATTTGCCCCTCTTGATAGTACGGTCATCTATCCTAAACCCGGTCATCAACTTCTCTACACACCTATGACCGGTAAAATGAAATACCCTAGGTTATACATTTGCCTTGTGCATTCTATTCCATCTCCTCCAATGTCGATGCAACACATGCACCAACACGATCAACAATGATATGATCCACTTCATATCATCACATGATCATATTGGTTCATTGATCTTGACTTCACCTGCTTTTCACCGTTGCCATCGTCCATCGGCGCCAAGTCTTGCTTAGGCTTCATCGCCACGCGGTCCATCGCTCCAAAGCCTCCGACTTACCCTTCACGCTTGCAACCGGCCCATCAAGCCAAGTCATGTCTTGATCTTCTCCACCTTATCACATGACTCAATGTCATGTCTCATGTGCAATGAGCTTCTTCATCATCTCATGTGTGAGCTTTACAACATCTCCAAATCATTTTCACCTTCATGGCATATGTTGCTCACACACATGTACCTGTGGACTAATCACATGTGTATCTCATATAAACACAATTAGTCCACCTAGATTGTCACTCAATTATCAAAACCACACAAGAACCTTTCAGCCAGGCATCATCTGCGTTTGTAGCTGGATTAAAAAAAAAGGCATCATCCATCGTGAGCGTCTAATTTTGGATGACCGGAGCCTGGCCTGCCCTCTATCGTCGTCTCGTCTCCAACCATGCATGACATATATATGCATGCACCCAACTGCTCACATAATAATTAATAATAACCTCGTACTATATTTCTTGAGGGAGCGACAATCTATCAGCACTGGTCTCAGCCAAATCCAATGAAAATGATATGGGATACTCTACTACTACTACTAGCTACGAGTGTCTCTGACGATGATGACAACAAAAGGGGAAATTCACTGGCTCAACAACCTTTTCATTTCCACCTCTCTAGCTCTGCGACCTACCTTGGCTGGTAGCCCGTTTTCATCATATCATAAAATTAAAAAAAAAACGGATAAATAACCAGGCCGGGCTAAGCGTGCATCCTCCCCTCCCCTTTCAGCCCACAAGACCATACATAATAGTAATAATAAAAGAAAAAAAAAACAGAGAGGCATATTTACATCAACTAACTGCCACCTCGGTTCATGACATATATATGGTACAAAATTGCCTACTATTCAGCTCTATGTCACTCTATATATTGCTCCTGTCATCACATTCTACCACCTAACAGAGATGGGATCTCCAAATACAGGAGAGGCCTCTGCCTCTCCCTGCTTGTCAGCTCGCTGACCTAATGCATTAGACACCATTACATCCATCCACACTCTACCCTTCCCTTTCTCCAAGCCACAAAGCTTGGAGATCGCTACAGATTGTATAACGGGCATTAGCCAACACAAATGTGTGCTAATCAGAATCTGAGGCAATGTCTAGTATCAATCTTGGTCGAACTGAAAGCAGAGGCATGGTAACCAAATAAATTAGCCACAGATTCCGATACGTTTGGCAGTGCCAAAGTGGTGGTGATAAAATTGTAGCAAAAACGTCGCAATTCAAATCATCTAAGCACGAGCATATCAAGAAAAAGCACTGTAATGAACAGATAATAACAAGAAATCACACAAAACCAAAAGGGGTGAAGACTTCTTCCATACCATCTAAAGCTGTTATTCTGTCTCCAGGATCGCTCCTTTTCCTAGATGCAATTTTGGCAGTAGTTAAATCTTCATCAGAGCCACTAATGCTGACATCTGTCCATTTGTCAGAATGGGCATCAACACATGTTTGAATGTCCGCTCTCAGGTTAGCAAGACCCATGGTGCTATCTCTTTCACTTAATGAACAAGGTTGCAATGCGCTATCATTCCCATCTTCTACAGGGTTTGCTGCTACCCCCAAATCAGCCCCAGAAACCGGCCCTTGCTTAGATTGATCATTGCCAGGGTAGTTTTCCAGTTCACCTGAATTATCTGTCGTCTTTGTACTGGTCTCAAGTATCTGGGAAGTAGGATCATCTCGGGGACTCCCAGGACATTCCCAAAAGGACAACCCCAGGTCACCAAAACCTTCTCTTAATGCAACAAATGAGCTTTGTTTTGGGCATCCACCAGTTTGTTCGCTACATTCTCCTAAATTTTCAGGTGTGTTGAGTGGAAACAGATTTCCAGTGTCATGCGTCGAGCCACAGTTCACAGCACCAGGAGACAACACCATGACATCATCATCATCTGAGTCACTCAAAACTATTATATCCTGCCGTGTTGATGCTGGAGGACCATTTTCATCTGAGGATGAAGAATCAAGATCATGGGCATGGGCCATAGGATCACCATTTGTTGCTGGCTCTAAATTAAAACCTTCATTTGCAATGTTTGTATCACCAATGTTGCTTGAGAGAGTGATGCAGTTTTTGTTTTCATTGTATCTTGAATGGTCATTACCAGAAGACGGCACCAGATCAGCATCCCCTATCTTGCTAATTTCCCACTGGCCACTGTTTTTTTCCCTAAGTCCCAACTTAAGACATCCCACCTCTTCAGACAGTGGCTCTTCTTTAACCTCAATGCTTTACAATGCAAATTTCAGGTTTGGCTGCTGTATCTGTGGCCACAGAGAGAGTACCATCTGGTTGATGCCACTGTATAAGGTTCTTCAGTTCAGCTCTGCCCTTAACTCTCCAGGAACCATCAGGCTTGACATCAATTTCAGACGTATCATCTCCGCAGCTTTTGATCTGTATCACCAATAAGCAATAAATCAGCAATGATGCACACCTAAAAATGTAGACATGAAAAGTTGAAAACATCATTTCATCGCCACTATAAACTCACCAAAGAAGTGATGCGATTGAAGTAAGGATCAATTATTATGTTCTCTAGAGAGTAATTCTTCAGGCAAATTGGACATTGCCACTGCAAGCAAGGAAACGAAGTTTGATTTAGATAAAGATGAAACAAGATTCAATCAATATGGTCAAGAAGATGAGGTAAAGTTGTATTGAGTCCAAATAGTCAAACCTTCCGGGAACGTTGGTTTATTTCAATAACTTCTAAATCAAAACAACCCATGTGAGCACAGGGCTTGAACCTACCAGCAATCTGGATCCTTGAAGCAGTCATCTGTCACAAGATTAAAAAAAACAGATTAAAAGAAAAAAAAAATTGGGTGACTTTCCGTGAAGGAATGCAAAGAAAACTATGGCCCTATTTGGCACAAGCTTAAACTCATGCACAAGTTGGTTTATGGAAAAAGCTATGAGAAGCAACTGCTGGGGAAAAAACTAAATGTTTGGCAACCTTTTCACTGATACTTTCCTATGGGACCCACATATTGACTTTAGTAGAAGGGGAGAGCTCATCCTCGTCGCTGCTCTTGTCCGTACCCTCTCGCTCAACCTTGGCCTCCGCTGTGCACAGCTGCCCTGACAGTCTGACACAGCGTGCCCTATGGTGGCCAGCAGCGAACAGGCATGCCTCAGCTCAGCTTCTTCATGTTGTTCTCCATCGACCAAACCAGATCAAGACCACCAGCCTCTGCATCTCCGTTTCTTTCCCATCGATTCAAGCAGCAGCTCCTCCACCACCTCTTTTTGAAAGTAATAGCAGGAGGTCTGCCTTTCAATTAAGAAAAATAGAGTTGGCCCAGGCCTGAAACCTTACATAGGCACAGAATTAAAACACCACCACCTCATCTCTTTCTCACCCAAGCTTAAACTCCTCCACGACCTCATCTCTTTCTCACCCAGATAGGCAAAGTACCAGGGTGAGCTGCACCCAAATCAAGTCCGACTCCACTCCCAGTCTCATACAAGCTCTATCCTTCCAATCTTTGCTCCTTTCTTCTTCCTAATCTGCAGATCGACACCACAAACACCAACCCACAACTTGAGCACAACCACCTCTCAATTTTTCCTCCCTCCAATCCAAGCTCCTGGACCTGGACCACAGCAGCCAGAGTTCCAAGGTGCCCCCTTCTAGCCGCTGAGCCACTTTATGGCTGGGACGCGCCTCTGAGCTGCTGGTTGAACCTCAACACTGGAGGTGTGGCAATGTGCAGAGGTGGTAGAGGGGAGGCGCAGAGGGGAAGAAGGAGCAAGGCGGCCAAGAGTAAGTGGATGCGTAGCAGGGGGGCAGGGGGAGGTGGAAGAAGCAGGTATAATTTTTCTGCAAGCTGCTCGCGAACCATGGCAAAGAGAATCAGGCTTTTACATGCAACAAAAGCAATGGAGAAGCGCTGCCCTGGAAAGTTTTGCATTTGTGAAGAGAAGCGGCTTTTTTTCTGAGAAGCGCTGTTGCCACACAGGGCCTACCATCAAACATATTGTTCCAAGTATGGTGGTCACGGAAAAAGCGTGTACGTTAACAAAAATATAACATATATGGTGATCTTAGGATAAGTCCTAAGCCTAAAAGTCATCAGCTCACAGCTGCAGCATAGAGAATAACTTCTGGTGGCAAATACTAATAATTGAACAAAATTTTGGCTTGAACAATATTACAATGTGTTAGACAGGCAGATGGACCTAGAGCCCAGTATACACGGGCTTGTGCTGCCGCGGACCCTGAGTCCAGCGCACACCTATAGGTTGAGTCGAAACAGGCAATGATATTGGTGATTGGTTCAGATCCTATATAAGCCAACCCTAGTTATCATCACTGTCTGCATTATATGCCTCAGCTCCACCACCAACACAGCGACGCACACGAGCAAGGGCATCATCAAAATTTTCACCATCTTGTTCCTTTCGCACCAAATTTAGGACCTGCTCACTATCAAAGTTTCAAAAACTAGAAACAATAAAAATGAAACAGGATTCAAGATTCAGGTGTTCAGCACTTTCTAGGTACCAGCTTGTGGCAGTAGTACTGTAGCAGTAATACAACCAGCCAGTTTATAGTATTTCCTTTTTTTTTTTTTTGGGGGGGTGCATGGGTGGGTAATCATTCTCTGATTAGTTTTTTCACTACAAAATACAGATCCTAACAAAGGGCAACAGGGAATTGGAATTTTGCTATAACACCAAACGTACAAGTTCCACATAGAATCTTTCTAGGCATATAAAACAGCTATCCTCCCAAGGTGGCAAGGCTTTACAATGGAATTCACTTGGAAGATAATCAAAAGTCTAAGACTCCAAACATGGTAAGAATAAAAAAAGAACAGAAAGAAAAGCATCTCAATATGTGTGGTCGACAGAGGAGGGTAAAACTTCTAATATATTAAAAAGCACTGGACATGCCTAAGAACAATAAAAGCCATCTGAAAGTGTTTGCCGATGCCTATCCACTTTCTTAAAAGGTGCACATGAAGCACGGCTGATTCACATATCCTTGTCCAGTAAAATATGTGTGTTTTGAATCTTGAGAGTGTAGTGCTTAACAATGGACTATATACTACAAATCCCACCTGTCTTAGAGATCTCCTCTTGGCAATTTTGATACCCAAACAGAAAGGACGAGAGTCATTTCTCGATAGAGAAATCTTGTTAGGTCCCTCCTTCTTCAGGTAATCTGTTAACTGGGAACATAGAATTGTTCAGGGTCAAAAGGAGATATAATATACAAGAGAAACTGTAGGTGATGAATGCAGGAAGATGATGTAAAAAAAACGTCCAGTGCCTTAGCAAAAAATAAACAGAATAGCAAGCTTCAAAACAAAAAAGACTTACTAGTGGACCATCGTCTCTACCATTGGCCCCTAACTTTTGTTGGGGTTGCCTATTAACCACCCTAACATAAATACCTGACAAAGTAAGAATTACCAACAAGAATAGTTCAGATATAGTATAATTGAACTTATTGTCAGAATAGTTTTTTTTGAAACTTACTATCAGAATAGCTACCAGAGCCTATATGATAACTACAGCTAGAAGGATGTAAAATATTATTTTTGCTAAACTGCAGGCATAAGTACAACTACAAGCACAAGTCATAAACCATAGACTGAGGTGCATATACAAATCAACCCATAACAAGCTCCCTAAGAAAAGGAGAAAAGCATCACTAACTGTGCAACAAAAGATGAATCAGCTGTTATTTGGACTTAATCTGATTCAGACTAGGGTGTTTGGTTCTGCCTTTTCCTTTTGTTATACAGAAAATAACACTTGGCATCCAACAAAGCAACACAGCTGCCAGAAGCGTAGGTTCAGGCTCAAACGTCCAAGTAGTGGCAACATAATAAAACCAACCAGGTGTTATACAAGTATTCAACAATTTACACAACATATCAACTCATAAAGAAGAACAAAAAATAAAGTGTATCTTCCATTCTTTCCTTGTACACATTGTGAAAAATCAAACAGGTGGCACTTAACTAAGTTTTTTAACTCAATAAACATGTACCCAAATCCAATTAGAAAATATGACTCACTATACATAACAAGTCACTGCATATACCATTAACTTGCATGTCAGAGTGTAAAGGCCAGTGCATCCTAAAAGGTACTTTGTCACTGAGAAGGATACACCAAACCTGCATAAGAAAAAATCGATTCGAAGTCTAAGTAAATAACTGATACGTATAGGTTGAACATAGTGGCTGCACATGAAACCCAAGGTAGGAAATCAATACACACAGGTAATGGTGATTATTCCATGATGATCCTAAACAAACGTAATGGTCCAAGGAGAATGAAAAGAAAAAGAGGTGGAATTAACCTGAATATCGCATTCAGCTTGCTGTAGCATTTCTCTATTAGCTCTTGAAAGCTGAAAGCTTTTTACAGTATATTGTACAGTATATGACCTGGACATAAGCAAGAATCACAAAAGGCTATGTATATTCCTACTTAACTTTTATAACAAAATGAAGCAATTTGTTCAACCATTTTGTTGCTCGGGACTCATATATCAACATTGTTATCCAAAGTACAATTATCTCCCGTTTCTTCCTATAAATAACATAAGGAGTAAAGATGACTACACAAATCATGTAAGCTACAGCAGCAACACATAATGGAGGAGGCTGTTCATTTTATGTCATCCAGCAAACAAAAGTAAAACTCACATCATTCACATGTATTCATGCAATTAACAGATGTAAGAGCATCTTCAGCAGTTCCCCAATCTCATCCCTCATCCACATAAAACTGCCATATTGGGGGAGATGTGGTTGATTTGTTGCTCCAGCAGCTCCCCAATATGGCCCCCTTTTTTTGGTGGTTAGCAATAAACTCCTCTTCTTCCCTCAAATAAAGGGGGAGTTGGATCTCCCCCAATACAGTGGGGCCCACAATAATTGTCACTTCTTCGGTTCTTCCTCGCCGCACTGACCATGGTGATCGAGAAATCGGGGGGCAGGTGGTGGGGTGGCACGTTAAAGGCGCGTGATGGCGAGGGGCAAAGGTCGCTCGCCATGCATGGTGGGTGTGGTCGTGGTCATGAGCGCCTCTCTACAAGAGCAGGATGGAGTTCGACTGCATGGAGCGCCTCACGCATGCGGGAAGAAAGGCGACGCGAGGGAGGAAATGAAAGAAAAAATTGTAATATGACATGTGGGTCCCATATATTGGGGAGATTATTGGTGATCTCATTGGAGCATCTTCCCAATAGTCTAAAAAAAAATAGTATTGGCGATCACCAATACCGTCCTATTGGGGATGAATGGTGAGCTGCTGGAGATGCTCTAAAGCAACACGTGTAAGGCTTGTTGGGGAAAGAGTACTCAGAGCAAAGAATATTGTCATCACACAAACAGAAGATAAAGCAAATGATTAACAGATAAGATCTGATGACGACTTGATAAAAAATGTTTTTCTAAAAATATTCAATGATTTTCTTAGCATTGCCATCCTGATTACAATATGGATATCCATTTCTAAAATTCTTAAAAGAATTAAGTTGCAATTATAGCAAAAATGCCCAACCATGATACAATACCTTTTTCATGCTGTATCAAAGTAAGTTTATCAAAGGAAGTTATTTTACTTATTAGAAAATTAGACAACATGGGGGTCTAGCAGTAACGATCAAAAAGGTTTTAACAGATAATTCAGAGGACGCATGATAGAACTGATTTGTACCATCCAAAAACATCAATAAGTGTGCATTGTGATGAAAGAATGGATAGCTCACCCGTCTGTTGCTACGGTAGAGGGTCCTATTAAGACACGGAGTAACAGATGGTTCACGGCGACCCAAAAACTGCATGTTACAGTAGGAAACTATGTCAGAAATAATAGGTCACCTAATATTAGGACTAAGAAAATAATGCTTGTTACCTAAACAAGTAGAACAAGGAAGCACACAAAAAGGTCGAAGAAGAACGTTGCAAAGGATACAGATTGCTCAGATTTAATTTCTAGGCAAGGAGATTTTTGTAAATCGTAAGTGATTGATGCCACAGAATAACCAGCGCAGACAAATGGCATAAGGTTACAAACTAAAAGCAGTTAATCACATGATGTGTGTGTGACTCGGTCTCTTTGAGTTCAGGACAATATTGAAGTTTAAAACAACTTACGGATCAGCCCTGCTAAGTCGGCACAGTTGACAATAAAAGCAGGAAGGTAATTCAAGAGAAATGTTGTCCACATACTTCTCAGTATCAGGTATGATAACACAGCAAACATGTTGCCATATGTTGCGTTGTGGATCAATACACTACAAGGAGCAAACAAATGATCAATGAAACAGAAATATGTAGTGTAGCACATCTCATCAAGCACAAGAGCTACAAATTACAAAAGTTTAGGAACAAAGCAAGTAATGCTACATTTCACAATAAAAGCTACAGGCTTCCAGTATAAAAGTGAAAGACTGAGAGTGAGCTAGACCATCAAATTGCTTTGAAGTTTCAGAATATAAACAGTGAGATGCTTTGGTGATTCTGAATGGACCAACAACAAATATCTGAAACCTTTATGGTTTGGCTCCAGGACATCAGATACTGTAGAAGAGTTAGAAAGGCATATTTATCATGAGAATTTTACCTTAATCATGGAATCATTTGGCTTGGAGTCACCACAAGGGCAACGTGTTAAACTATTTTAAGACCTCTAGGTGTAAATCCAGTGGGTGATTAACTTAACTGAAATGAACTTGCTCATCGTTACCTAGAGCGAATCCTGTCCGAGTCCCCTCGCGTCGGTGTAGGAGTTGCAGTGGCACCGGCGAGGATGTTGGAGGTGAGGTGCAGTGACGGTGACCGACGACGAGGCGAGGTGCCGGTGGTCCGGTGGTGGCACTTCCCGCCGCTTCAGCACTCCCTTGATCGGTAGGGTTAGGGCAGTCAGTGGGGATCGTGGCGGCTGTCTTGACCTCATGTCTACGCCCTGGCCCCCACCTCCCTCTATATAGTGCTGCGCGACGGGGGCCCACCAACCTTCGTTTGGTTGGATGCCCCCGATCAGGGCACTGGATCACGGCCCGACTCGACCGTTGGGCCGAGTCGGATGAGATCAACACTAACAATCTCCCCCTTGATCTCATCTCATACTTAAACTCAACTTTCCTTATCTTTTTCCCATTCCATCACAGATCAGTGCATAAAGCGTACTTCATCGTCACGGTCAGTTGCCATTAGATTTAACAGCTACAATACACCTCTCTGTTTTGAAACAGATACTCAACTAGGCCCTTAGTATCCAGAAATCATAGGTTTTCCTGTAAACCCATGTTGACTGTGTGTTCTCTGAACGCACTGGGTGGTAAGCCTTTAGTAAGCGGATCTGCAAGTACTTACTCGGTACTTATGTGCTTAATGCTTTCAAAAGGATTCTAGATTTTCTCCTTTACAACATATAACTTAGTATCAATGTGTTTGGCAGCACACTTGACATGTTGTCTTAGGAGTTAACTTACTTTAAATGGTTATTGATGTTATCTACTATTGTTAAATCCGGGTACAAATTCCCTTAACCTCTTTTGCCTGTTCCTTAAGCCTCATGTCAAGCTATAATATGGTATGCATCGCTGATGACACCATAACTGTTTCTTTGGATCTTTTCCACAATAATACTCCAACTACGAGTGTTAGCAACTGCTGTGGATTTTACTACATATCTCGCCATGACTTAACATTTGTACCCTCAACTATTTGAGAGTACTTATTCCTTCTTACTCAGCATAAGGCCTATGATACTTTGCAAAATTGCAAGACATTCTCAACTCCATTTCAGTGATCTTTCTGCCAAAATATCCCGGATACATAAACTACGTCAGGGTAAGTTCTTACTTGTACTTGTACACACATCAAGCTTCCAACAGCTGAAGCATATGGAACCATATTCATTTGATCGATCTTATATCGGTTTCTGGAACACTTAAAGTTCCCAAATCCATTACCCTTGACTATAGGAGCAGGCGTAGGTTTATGCGCATGCATACTTTACTTCTTTAGAATCTTTTCTAAGTATGCATTTGCGATAGTTCTAATACCCCATTTTCTTCTGTCTCGGTGAATTTTGATTCCTAGAACCAATAACACTTCACCAAGATCATTCACATTGAAACTTGAGGACAAAACTACTTCTTCTTAAATGACAGATTAACATCACTACTAGTGAGTAGAATGTCATCTATTCACAGAGTGTGGAAAATGAATTTTCCATTTTTGAACTTCGCATAAACGCTATTGTCCTTCTTATTTTCTTTAAAACTTAAACTTTCTTATTGTTTCATCAACTTCAAATACTAATGTCTAGAGACTTACTTTTAATCCATAAAAGGATTTTTATAGGCGGCATCCCATATGTTCTTTTCTTCCACGACAAAACCTTTTGGGTTGTACCATGTACACATTTTCATACAAATCTCCGTTGAGGAATGACGTCTTTACATCCATCTGACGTAACTATAAATCATAATGTGCCACGAATACCATTATGATTCTACAAGAATCTTTGCATAAGACTGGAGAAAAAACTCTCATTGTAATATATTCATTTTTCTTTGCGTAAAGCATATTGCTACAAGTCATACTTTCTATCTTTCTACATTCCCTTTGGAGTCACATTTTGTCTTGTAGACCCATTAACAACCTACTATTTTGGCTCCATTAGGAATTACTTGTAAGTACCAAACATCGTTGGTATTCATCGAATTCATTTCAACTTTCATAGATTCTTGTCATTTAAACGATTAAACGTTTCTCATGGCTTCTTCAAATGAGGTGGGATCACCCTCTATTTGAATTTTCTTTACTAACATAGACTTCATAGTCATTAGAAAACTGGTTTACTAATTCTTTGAGACCTTCTAGGGCCTCAGCTACTGGCACTTTTATATGGGGTTGTTGTATAAGTCATACAACATCAACATGTATTGAGAAATTCGTTGTTTTGAATCACTAAAGTGGGCACGTAGTCCCGCTTTTCTTCAAGTCTTAGATCTCTACATGCCACTACATACCATGCTCCCCCAGATCTTCTCATCTTATTTAAAGATAGTGTATCTTTAAATATTTTATTTTAGGTTTAATCCGTCAAAACCTCATATGGTGCTTTAAGCACCACCTTAACATCTTTGAGGCTGACTACGCTATCTTCATGTCGAAACTTTAAAAGGTCCAAGAATTTAGCTATTTCTCTGCTTAGGCGTATCATTATTGTGACCGTTGTACTCCTCTGACGGTCGCATACATCTTAATTAATCTTTATCTCACTCTTACATCTTAATTAATCTTTATCTCACTCTTAATGAAGATTATCTTTCTTAATTAATCTTAATATTCTCCTCCTCGAAATATGGCATAAACTTTATTGCTATAATTTCGATAACTATTCAGAAAGCCTGTGAACGAGGAGACATATATAACTTACTTCATTCATAGGATTGTGTCATGTAAACAAAGTTATTTCTTGATCCGTTTAGGAGTACACTTTCCTTCATTCACTTTAAAAACTCAACGAGGTCTTTCAGTAGCAGTACTTTTGCAAGTCACGCTTGCATCTTTTTCTTATCCTTTGGTAAGTACTGACTATGACGATGCATTTCTATTGTGCCACGGTCAATACTATGATATAAGAGCTACCCAAACTTCTCTCGCTATGTGCGATACTAAACATGTGAATCATCACAAAACTTCTCCCGCCATGCAGGATTGACTAGCATAAGTACTATGCCAAAACTTCTCTCCATGCGGGATACATCTATACGAAAACTTAGTCATGACGACTAAAACATTCACTTATACTTCATTTTCTAATTAAATCTTCCCGTTGGTTCCAATTTAATTGGAAGATAATCAACATCATTGTAGCGGAAACTTGATAATAAAATACATTCTTTTAGTTCAGGAACATTTCTTGGTCCTTAACTACTCTCTGAAAAATTGACCACGTTCGTGTAAAATTTATTAGAGATTTAAACTTCAAACTTAAATTCATTATAATATTGTCATCATCAACGTTGGTCAGAAAAAGACAATACCATAATCTTACTTAAACAAAAACGGACTACTCCTGTAATTTAAATTTTCCCGTTGGTTTTAATTTAATTAAAGGATAAACTTAATCATAATTTACTAAAAGTAACTGCTCTTCAAATTAAATTCTCTCGTTGGTTCGAATTTAATTAGAAGATAATTAGCATTAAACTTTGTAGCGGAAACATGAAAAAATTATTTATCTACTTTTCAGAAGCATTTTACAGTACACAACTACTCTCTAAAAAAAATATCCCGTTTGTTCAAATTTTGACAGAGATTTAAACTAGACAAAAAATTATTAAAATTTGCTTCTGAAAATAATAGAAACAAAACTCTGCGTTTACTATTCATTGGCCTAGCAGCAGAAAATTTCCCCGCGGCCCAGCTAGCAACAACAGCGCATGCGGCCCAGCAACGCACGCAGCCTGCGCCTGCACAGCCCAGGCCCAGCTCGTGCGCGCGCTCCCTCTCGCATGGCATCAGCGCGCGGCCCAGTAGCTCGGCCCAGCTTGCGCGCCCAGCTGTATCAGCCGCGCTCCCGCGCCCAGGCCTGGGTCGAGAGTGGCCCGGCCATCCCTGGTTGTCCATCAGCATCGAACGGCTGTCCGTCAATTTCGCGTGAGACAAAACCAGCGGCTGCCGGCCTTGCTCCCCTAACCCTAGGGCAGTCTCTCCCACTCCTCTCTCTCTTGGCCGCAAAAGCGACATCGGCGGCGGCCTTGGTGGCCGACGGCGCCGGTGACAAGTAGCGTCGCCGGAGCAGATCCGGCTCCCCTTCCATTTCGTCTTTCTCTTCCCCTTTCCCTCTTTTCTCTCAGCCGCGATGCTCCAAGTGAGAACAAGGAACAGCAGCAGCTGTCGTCCATGGCCGGAGGAGAGGTACGGCGCCGCTGTAGGCCCCCTCGCCGGTGCGCGCGTTCGCCCATGGCTGAGCGCGCCGCTATCGAGCGGTCTTGCGACGGCGCCCTCGGCACCCGCACGCAAAGCTTTGGAGCGCCGGCGAGCCCACAGCTCGGCCGGTCTTCCCGCACGCCAGCGAAACGACGGTGCGGTTTTTCTTCCCGCTCAGCGTCGACTATGGTCCGGCGGTGATGGCAAGGTAAAATCCCGCCGTCTCTGATCTAGGGGTAGGGTTAGGATTTGGGGAATTTGAAAACCTGTTCATCTCCTTCTAAATTCGTTCTTCTTTTCTACCTCAAGACCTAGATCTACACCCTAGCGTGGCTCTTGATACCATTGTTAAACTATTTTAAGACCTCTAGGTGTAAATCCAGTGGGTGATTAACTTAACTGAAATGAACTTGCTCATCGTTACCTAGAGTGAATCATGTCCGAGTCCCCTCGCGTCGGTGTAGGAGTTGCAGTGGCACCGGCGAGGATGTTGGAGGTGAGGTGCAGTGGCGGTGACCGACGACGAGGCGAGGTGCTGGTGGTCCGGTGGTGGCACTTCCCGCCACTTCAGCACTCCCTTGATCGGTAGGGTTAGGGTAGTCAGTGGGGATCGTGGTGGCTATCTTGACCTCATGTCTACGCCCTGGCCCCCACCTCCCTTTATATAGTGCTACGCGACGGGGGCCCACCAACCTTCGTTTGGATGGATGCCCCGATCAGGGCACTGGATCAAGGCCCGATTCGACCGTTGGGCTGAGTCGGATGAGATCAACACTAACACAATGAACC